CCTTCCGTCCCGTTCATGGTTGCGGTTCGTGAGGTGCCTTTCGCTCTTACTCAGGGGTGTTTTTTGAGCGCGGGGGGACCGTCTCCAAAGTGGGGCTCCCGCCACCCCTCAGCCTTCGCTGTCACCCCAAGGAGAAGTGGCTACGCTCACCGCCGCAGGGTGCCCCTTTTAAAGTGCCCCCCAGGGTAAGCTCCAGGCATTGGTGTCAGCGCGATTAGGGCTTAGAGAATTATTAATCATAATCATCCAGGGGTAATTGGCTTTCCTGGGAAGGTATTAAGGTGACACCTGTTTCTGGCCCACACTGTCATTGTTGGAGACCATGGCTCATGGTCACATAGAAAGAGGTAGCTCTGCACCGCACCTTTCATTTGGGGGGGCCCAAGACAGGTAACAGCTCCACGCACACAGCCTTGCCTCTCAGCATGGCTGTGCTTCCCAGGGACCGTGGGTTTGGGGTGGGCCTTGCACCCCACAATCCAAAGCTGGACATCCACAGCTCATGTTGCCATCACCCAGGGGGAAGCACTCGTCCCCCCAGTCCCTCCTCCATGGGCACTCCAGGGTGCGCTGCCCGTCTGTGTGAAACACCTGTTTCCTCACAGAGTTTCAGTACAGAGAGGTACTGGAATGGGATGCAGAGGGAGCCAGGGGAAGACAAGGCACACAGGGATCCTTCTCTTGGCTGCACTGTCCAAGGCTCCTGAGCTGAGCTTTTGGCTCTCACCAACAAGCAGAAGCTCCTTCTTGTCCCCCGCTAACAGGAGGGAAGTTTGCAGTTCAAAACCGCACAACCACGGGTTTGGGGGTGCAGAAGGTGGCTGGGCTGGGCAGGTGTGATGTGGTCTGTCAGTGAAAGAGGGGGGTCCCACACCCATTCTTACAAGGGGAAAGGGGCTCCCTGGCACAGGCCAGTCCCCACTGGAGAGCCATCCCCACCGTAACAAGCCATTCCCGTGGGAGGCTGCAGAAGGGTGGTCTCGGGCAGCGTGAGCACCACCAGCCTTTCCTACATGCTCTCAGCCACCCCTTTTTCTGCTGTAGGACTCGGCTAGGGAGGTTTGGGCAGGTTCCCAGTTGTACCATCGCTCTGTGCCTGGCTTTGTATGTGGTTCTATTTATGCCAATTGTTAACACCCAATAACCAACCTCACCCGTCTGTGCGGAACAGGTATGATTCTGCACTGGTGCTGGGAATGCTGCTGGATGAGGGCACTGAAGGGAAGCTCTGAGGTGAAGCCAACCCTCAACTTCATGTGCTGGTTGACAGGCACCTTCAGTCTCCCCAAAACCTTGCAGAATCATTGAATTCCACAGGGGAAGCCACTGTGGGAGCCTCCCATGTCCTCCCTGTCTCTCTCAGTGCACCCAATTGGGCTTGAAACATCCTTTGTGCCAACCAGCAACTGTGTTAGATGTTACCTCTTCTTAATTTTTTGGAGGCAATGGGACAACACATACAGCAGAGCAAGCGCAGTGAGGGAAACCACAGAGGCTCTCTCCTCTGGAGAAGGTGGTTCCTTACTGTTCACACCATCATGGTTAATCTTTTAAGCTCCACAGCTATTTCCTCCATCTCTTCTCTTTTTTCCCACCCCCTCGTTTATCACCTTTCTCCTTAGCGGTCAGTAACATTCCAGTGGGCAGGCAGGGACTGTCTGCTCTGCCCCTTGGCAGGGGGCAGAGGCTGGAGGGGGCCTGAGCACCCACCTCCTGTTGCCGTTGTCGCTGCAGCCGGGGGCCAAGCTGCGCGTTCCTCGCAGCCAGGAGCGAGAGTGCATTGTTGTGAGTGCCTCATCCAGCACAGGAGGATGTGCCAGAGATGCTGGAGTTCACGGCTGCGAGGTGGGCAGAAGCTCACGTCCTCTTGGCCTTAATAAACTTCCTTCGGTCCCGGCCTACTTTTGACGTGTTCCCTGGGGTTAGTTTAGCACATGCAATGAAGTTTAAAGGAAAAGAGCAGAAAGCGCTGTACTCGCTTTAAAGCGAAGGGAAACCTTCGCTCTAAGTGGGGACGGTCTGAAGGAGCCGAGCGCTGGCACCACGGACACAGGGAAAGCTGGCTGCTGCAGCCACGGGCAGGCCGTGATCACTGCACAGCCCCACAGCTCTTCCTCCACCTTAACGCGAAACCACGTCCTCACACACGCTCCCCTCGTCCCAAGTCCCTCTCCATTAACTTTTCACACGTGTGCCAAGGCCAGAGCAGGGCCACCACCTACTTGCGAATGCAGCTGTTCACACTCGTACCTGGGCATACAAGAAGGATTAAAGGTTTATCTCCCAACACAGGAATATGCCACCTTAAGCTCTGATGCAGTAAGCCACTGCTGAGGTTAGCAGCTGCTGCTCGGAGCTTAGGGCCCGGCGTGCGTCACCACGGAGCGCGGCAGTGGGACAGACAGGCAGTATTGGGGTGGAACAGTGCAAATCCAAGAAAACAGTTGGTCAACCACTCCCAACAGCTTTAGACAAAAGTGCTGCAGTGGGACTCCTTGTACATCCAGGGACTCCTTGTACATCCAGGGACTCCGTGTCATAAGCTACACACGAGTTTCAACGGCACACGGCAGTCGGCAACTAGAACATCCTTGTCCTCACAAGGTGAGAGATGTGTCAACAATGTTTTGCCTGGAAAAGCCCAGTACGCTTTCCAACCCTAGACTGTAGTCACAGAGGTGTTTAAAAAAAGAAAAAGGCTTCTGTGCTTGCTCCATTTTGTCTCTGTGCCATGGCAAACCCTATCTACTTATTTTTATAACTCATCATTCCCACTAGCTCCGCAAAGCCAGCTTGGTTCTGGGAGACGGAGCCGAGTTCTGTTCTGGCTCACGTCTCCAACAGCATTGTTTATCCATGTCAATCGCAAAGTCTTCCTTGCAAACACTGACAGATGAGTCAAAAAGCAGACGAGTGGTAATTAGAACAGAATGTTTGTGAAGTGGCAAATTAAGCAAACTTGGTCAGGAACCACTGGGGGAACTTGGAAACCCTGTAACGGCATTGCAGGGTGCCACTTGCAAGAGGAACTCAAGCAGACACAGAGACCACGCTGGTTTCACGTGCAAAGGGCTGTTTACGTGGTAGCTGCTTTGCCAGCACCCACCAACCTCAGCCAATAGCTTAAGACAGAGGAGTATCATCTCCCACTCAGGACAAAGGGAGGCTGTGACAGACGGGATGTAACAGGGGAACTCACCGTAACACGGGCACACTCTACACTGGATTGAAGTCAAGAGACCTATCGCTTCCCAGCTCAAATCCAGCCCTGTTGGTTACCTGCACAAATTCTCTTGCTGCCGGAGAACTACTCGGTGACCAGCCCCCGGAGGTTCAACCACCTGGGAGGACAATGGGCTGAGTCTGGCTGGGATGGAGTTAACTCTCCTCCTCGCAGCCGCACGGTGCTGTGTTTTGGATCTGCCTCTAAACCAGTGCTGGTAAGACGCCAGGGTCGCAGTCACAGCTGAGCAGTGCTCGCACAGCACGGAGGTTCTCTTCTTCTGAGGCCAGAGCTGGGCAAGACTTGGGGAGAGACAGAGCTGGCACAGCTGGCCCAAGAGATCACACCAGCTGCTGCCATGCTCAGAAAGGAAAGCTCAGGAAAGGAGGAAGAACGGAGGACATTAGGAAGGCAAACACCACGAACACAAGTAACCGTTACTCATGCCAAGGCCCTGCTCTCCAGGAAGCAGGCTGGACATCTGCCTGCCACTGGGAAGCAGTGAATAAATTCCTTACTGCTTTGCTTGCATGCAGCTTTGCTTCACTTATGAAACTCTTCTCTCAACCCATGAGCTGTTGTGTTTATGCTCTTCTGATTTTCTCCACAGTTCTGCAGGGACAGAGAGGAGCAAGCAAACTACTGTGTGAGGGCTTTGCTGTCCAGCACTGACCCACCTCCTTTGGTCAAGCAGCTGCATCGCTAAAATCCCCTCTGCCTCAGCAAGCGGCAAGTCCGCCACTCACACTGTTTGCCCCTGGCTCTGGGCTGAAACAAGGAAACAATTCTGCTCAGAAGTCGTCCTTTAGCACATCACTCCGCTGGTCAGCGCAGCGGTCAGTGAGCTCAGACCACAAAGCCGTGCTCAGATCACCAGCGCCACAAGAACTGACAGGATGCCAGGAGTCACGGGAACTATCCCGTGATTTCAGTAGCGCTGCATTAGGATTTTCTCCTTCTAAGGAAGGCTACCCTGTCTTAGGTACAGAGGCAGTGCTGTGAGCGCTAGGAGCCCTCAACCGCTCTGGAATTCCTGCCTGCCACCCTGACATGTGGGTAAGTGTGGACATAGGGTGTTTAGCCCACCCTCCACCTGCAGCAAGCCGGCTGCAGTGGCGAGGATCACATCCGCAGCAGCGGGCGGCCGAGGCGCTCACGCCTGGTAGCTGGGTTACCATGTAACGCACACGTCCCTGCACAACCTGGCATTCTGCATTTTAACAAGGGCGAGTTCTGCACAGACTAAAAACTTTGCCCTCCCTCCTCTCAGTGTGGTCCTCGACACCAAGATCAGTGTGACTCAAGATCATACCGCAAGAGCACTAAACTCTAATGCTGTTCTTCAGCATTAATGGAACAGAAAGAAAAACAAAAATCAAGCTCAGAAGCAGCAGCATTATAGCAAATTCTCAGACAACGAGCAGTGAAAACCAATCCCGTTTATTTGAAGATCTGTCAATGAGCAGGTACATCTTAAGGAGCAAACCAAGTCCTAACACCAGTTAGCATAAAAGAATGGCTACGTCAAGGCCAAAGTTGACCCTAGAAACATTACTGTAAAAACCTGTGGCACTTCAGCTGCTTGCCTGGGAAACGTAGAGAACATTCACAAACACAGACATTTTCATTTAAAAAAACAGTTACATTTCTTCAAGCCATTTCCACTCTTACGCAGAAAATGGAACAAGATGACTGAAGTTGTTAGGAAACTCCATGAGTCCAAGTAGTGTTTTGCCAAGCCCATAGGGAAGTCTGTCAGTCGAGGTATTGTTTTTCTTCATTGGTTTGACTCACCTACTCTCCGCCGACAGAACGGACAGCCATTATGCTGCAGTACGAGAAGCTCGTAGTCCTCTGTGTGGAACATCTGTTAATCAGGAACAGATTTAGGGACAAGTTAGCCTGTGACTAGCTCAAAGAAAATGCAAACTGAGCTCAACAGCTGCTCTATGGCACCGACATTCTGAAGCTACCCTTGCAAGAGAACTGGTTTCTCTTACCTTCAATTGCTGGAGAGCTATCTCCTGCAACAGACCAGCACGCATTTCACACAACAATATTGCTCAGGAGGCACAAACCCCATTAATTACTTTTGCAGAAGGAAGGACAAAAATTAGACAGTTTCTATGTAAGCAAATGTGACTGAATTCCAGTATTTCAAAAAGCCATTCCTAAGAGGGCAGGAGAGGGACTGAACCACACGCTAACTTAGTTACTGCCTGATTTTCCCTGCTAGACCAAGCTGAAGTCAGAGGGGCAGAGCATAAACAAAGAAACACAAATCAGCAATTGTTGTTCAGCCGAGGTTTGCTTGAGATGCTCTGACCTGCTTGTCAGTGCAGCTTCCCAAAATTCAGCTACCCCAAAGGTTTCAGAAGGCAGCTGCTCCTCTGTGCAGCACACATATTTTGTCGTTTTCATTGCCTTCCCTGTCTCTACGTAATTCAGGAATTTGTGGAATACATCTTGAAGTATGAGGTTTCAATGGTTAGAGTTGTTTCAGCCATAGGGTGCTGGTTTTTGGGTTTTTTTTAATAACCTCTCCATGACAACTCTACCTGAAAACATGACGGACACATGGTAACGGAGGCATCTGGTAGCAGGGAACGGTAGTACTGCCACCGCAGTGGCTCTGGCCAGCGTTTAATCAGGACGTCTCTCCGGCTCATTGACTGGAGAACAGCACGATTCACAATCACTGGAACAAATTCTGAGCCTCCTTGCTGCAGGAGAGGAGGTTTAGAAAGAATTAGTTACTGACTGCAAAACCCTTTGAGGATTAACAAGATCCGGTAGGAAGCAAAGTGAAAATTCAGTCAAAAAAGCTAATACAGAATTGGCCCGAGCCTAGTCCCACCAAACTCACCCTCAGTTTTATCAGTCTCTTTAGTGACAGCAGCATCCAGCCACAGCTCTACCTCGACTGCAGTGTGCTTCCCCCGTTCATTTTAACAGAATTCCTTGTACACCGCACCCATGCCCACAGCCTTTACTGAAACCCCACAGTAACGCCTGCTTTATGGGCCTGTACCTAGACACGGTAACACCCCAGGGAACAGCCCTGTCCTGTCGCTGTTATGACGATAAAAACAAATCCCAGGAACCTTTACTTTCAGAGCTTCATTGTTTTGTGATTTTTGGGCTTCGTGGTGTTGGGGTTTTGTTTGTTTTTTTAAAGAGAGGAATTAACTGGTACATCCCTTTCCCTCTCCAGCTCCATCCCTCGCTTCCCTCCGTTGTATCTCTCTCTCTTGTGGCAGTCTCAAACGCATTCACACCAGAACTGCAGCGTGGACTCCAAGTTAAAATTTTCAATTCACTTCTGCTGGTAGCAGGAAAGAAACAACTGGAAGGCACAGGTAAGGCTCTTACCTCAAAGCTCAGTTTTGCTGTAAAGGGATCATTGTCTTCAGTAACGTTTGTATTGTCATCAAGCCTCAAACTCTGTGCATCTATATGCATTTCTTAAGGAAGAAAAAGAGTTCCTATAAAATTAGCTGTCCTCCCAGTAGCCAGCAATCACAGAATAAATATGAAAGCATACCACCAGCAGGACTGGCTTCCTTGTTGCCCCAGAAGGTCAGAGTATTCCCAAAACCACTACAGGGCCTAGATTGTTACCGAAAGTACTAGAGAAGGGCTTGCTGTGATTCACACTGACTGGGGAAATTTATCACTGCAGCTGCTGCAGCATGGCCGAACTGACCACAACCAAGCATGACATCAGCTCTGCCTTCCTTCCCTCTCTGCCCCCTCCTGACAGACAACAAAAAGCAAAACACAACCTATTTAGGTGACATTTTTGAGCAGCTTTAGTCAGAGATTGTGTTTTCCTGTGCATTACTCTGCACCTATTATATGGCACCCACAGCAACTGGGAGTTCTGGATGCCACAGCATTACAAACCAGATTCCAACAGGACCAGTTACAGAGAAAGTCCGTGCTGGTTTCCCTGGCTAAGAGAGGGCAGCCTCTACAGCAAGCTGTTACTGCGAGCACACTTCAGGTTCTCCCCGTTCTTTACAGAAAGCAGTTAAAACACACCAGGTAAAGCATGGCATTCCTTTGCTAAGAAGAAATATTTCACAGGATTAGAAACAAACTGTCCTGATGAAAAAGCTTTATGAAAATATTAGGTTTAGTTTAAACACCACTTTGGTGGTTACACTAACTGGAAAAGGAAACACGGCACAATTGTTCTTGCATCAGTCATATGACAAAAAGAAAATTCTGAACCTAAAAGGAAAAAAAAAAAAAAAGAAATTGTAAATTGTTGCTTTTTTCCCCTAAGGGCTGGAAACCAATTTTAATCAAAAGGATACAGTCACTCATAATCTCTTGCCCTTTATTCTCATTCATTCTTGGAGCTTCAAGATCAATGAGAGCTACAGCTTCTTCATCTGTGATGCCATCTTCCAAATAGAACTCAACCAGATGAAGTACTTCTGAAGGGGGGTGAGAAGCAAGGAGTATTTGACCTGCAACAACTCAGAAAATGCCTCCTAGGTGATCCTGTGCCCCTTAGCAGCCAGAGGGTGTTCGTTCCTTATGACAGCGGTGTTCGTGTTCTCACAAAGTGAGTTTAATAAAACAGAATTAAACCAAACCAAGAGCCCCTCAACTTATGATGGGATTGCTTCTGTGCTAACGGAACACTCTGTACGTTCAGCATCTCATAAAGCAATGCTCTACTGCTACCTTGCAATGAGCAGCAATCCCTGGGACAAGAGGCAGCCACCTACCAAATCTAACACCGCTAAAAGGAAAGATTTATTTGTCCACAGAACATTGCAGAGAGAACGAACGAAGTGCTGGCCTACTCCGTCCAGCTGAATCTATCTCCTTGCAAAGCACAACCAAGCGTGACACTCCAACGCACCGTAGGAGGAAGCGGAGAAGACGAAAGGTTGTCTGCAGTTAATGCAGACATTCCCCAAGTTATTCAGCAAAGGGTTGTTCGTGGAGCATCTGTAACACATGGGCACAAGCTCCTGCAAAGACACAGACAGAGCACAGTACTCGTAAACATCCTGAACTCTTTGTTTTCAATTAAATATGGGCTCCTTAGGGTTACACCACTGGTATTACATCAGCACCAATCTGGGGAAATACTGCTGTGAAATCAGATCCTTTTAACATCTGAAAATGCTTTCCCTTTTTAATAAAACAGCAAGTTTTCACATTAAAAAGAGCGGTCTTCGCCATTCTAACAATTAAGTTTTCACCTTGCCTTTGCAGTAACAGAATTCTGCATCAAACAAAAGAAGTGAGAGAGAAGGTTACTGACGCAGTTTTTTGCTCTAAGGCTCGGTCAAATTTAAGTTCTCCAATTAATTCATCTCTCTTCAAGAGCACAGGTATTTTAGGCAGTTCTTAAGATTTGTTTCTATTATTTCAGGGGGCCAGGTGCATGTTCGCTTGCACAATACAATTTATTTTTAGTGAGTATTCCATGAGACGTGGTTTTATAGAGCACTGCAGAAAGTCAGACTTCAGTTGAAGAAGAAAAGGTGTTAAAATAAGACTTAAGGAAGGAAGGTCATCCAAGGGATGGAGGGAGGAGGGAAGGAGCGCTAGGAGTGGGACAAATGAAAGCGACCTCCAGCCGGAGAGACAGACAAAGACCGTGGAGTAATTGCATGTGGATGGGAGAGAAAAAGGCTTGAAAGAATTAATAGGGAGAGAGGAAGATAGATGGGAGACAGGAGAGGGAGGATGGAAGCTGCCCATAAAGAAAGGACTGATTTTAATTTATTCTCAGGAGCAAAAGGAAGTCTGACCTGAAGAATAACAACAAAAGGACTGTTTCCAGCAGAAAAATAATTCTATTAGAGCTATGCATAATATATTTCAGATTTTTTTGTGCACACAGCAACTCAGATTCTTGGGTTAGGCCACGTATTAATGATCAGCATGAAACACATTATGACTTACTTCACTGTCATGGAATGGCTTGGATCGGATTGTCAGGCTGCCCAGCTCAATTGATTTCTGGAACCTAGCTGGGATGTGCAGTCCCTGTAACTTGTCATAGGCATGTCGAGCCAGTTTATACGCACCAAGAGCTTGACTCTGTTTTGCCAGGGTAAAAAATGTCTTGCTATCATTTAATTAAGGAATAAAAATACATACGGCATTTAGGAAAAACTGCAATCAGAGAGGTTGTGCAATGAAGCATATCCAACACCCGTCCTTTAAACAGGCTCTAACCAGAGAAGTCTATTTACACAGCTCCCTTTATAAACAAGTGTGAAAGGACTATCAGTATGTCTGTGGGCAATTATGAGCAAGGTAAGGAACTGACACTACATAAGCATTACTTCGGTTAAATATTCTGACTCCGTATACAAAATTTCAGTAATTTTAGGGTGGATTTTCCCCCCAGCCAAAAGAAGTATCTGACACCAGCAACCCACTGACACCCACTAAATACACATGATCTATTGGAAATAAAGCATATGCTCTCTGCCATTGCCCGAGGTTGTCTTTCCCTTCCGTCAGTGTAGAGCAGTAACTGCTGTTGAGAAAGCTACTGATCACAAGGCATGTTGTGAAAGATTATACATTTATAAGCGAGGAAGTTACGAAAGGGAACGCTAACATCCCATCCAGAGCCATAAATGAAGTGAAAACAAGAAAGTCAGGCCTCTCTGTGGCACCCAGTGACCCTTCTTGTTATATTTTACATGCAGGTGCATTTCCACCAGGTTCACACAGCGTTCATGAAGCACTCTCCAAAGATGCAACACGCACTAACAAAGCTGCGCAAACCTTGGCCTGACAGACGCTACACAGCTAGACCAGCCTCCTGTGAAGCAAAAACTCCCGGGTTTTTCCCCCCTCCTGTCTTAGTTCAGTCTCCTTGCAGTAACACTGACACGATTCAGAGCCAACATCCTGTTGCAGTGACTGCTGTCCTAGAAGAGAGGTGATACACCAGACTGGGTGGCAGGTTTTGAGACTTACATGCGAGTTGGTTTGCACAGCTCTCCAAAAACGATTAAAATAAAACACTAAAAAAGGTAGCGCAGTTAAACACACACAATGGTTTGAAGACTGTGACTATTTCCTTAGGGACAGGAGTCAGTTTCCATTAAACACAACCAACCGCTGAAACTGAAGACACCCTACAGGAGATCTCTGCATTGTGGATCAACATCAATTGCTCCTTTCATGTATCTCACTTCTAGATTTTGTACTGTGTCACAAGGATACACTTTTGAGATCCCCAAAGGCGTCTCCTTTGTTAAGCTGTGAAGCAGAAACCTGGAAATATTGAAGAGGGTTTCAGGCAAGTGGAAACTGAAAGGCTCCTCCTGCAGCATTAAAAACACAGACACACATTTCTAAGCTGGAAAACCAACAACTCCTCTCACCAAGCATCACAGCACTAGGCATCTCAAGTGCGGTGTTTCTTTCATACAGGTGTAAAAAGAAGAGGTGCTGACAGAATATAGCAAGGGGATTTGACGTGTCTTTATCGCAAAAGCTCATGCCTGCTACATACAGAAAAAGAGAGAAAGAGACCCATGTAGCTAAACCAGAATCTTTAACAGACTATTTAAAGATGAGGGCAGGCTGGCCAGCAGCAGTGTGGTCACCACCACCCTAAGGTCTGCAGCAGTCTGACCAGCAAAGACCTCCACAGCACAGAGTCTTCTTGTGGGCAAGGGCACAGATCAAGGGTTCTCAAATGTTTTACAAAAGGTATTTTCACCAGCCGTGGGGGCAACGTTACTATAATCATTGGAAGTAGCAGGAGCTCCTTGCTCATGACTGCTTATCATTCTGGAGTAGTTCACACACATCACTACTGATGCACACACCACGCTGGGGGAATCCCTAAGCCAGGGTGTCTTCTGCTCAATCTTGTTTTCCCGTGATTAAAGGAAAAGCTGACTGTAGTCTGTGTCGGACTAGAAGCTCAGGTCACTGTGGAACCAAACAGATATAACTAGCAAAAGGGGGCTGGGAGTGGGGAGTCGGTTGTCATCGTATCTTCTACTCACACTGAGACAAGCACAGATCTGCCAAAACTGCACTGCAGTTTTTAGGAACTAAGACAGCACAAGTTCTTGTACAGTACAGCAAAAGGCTGTATAATAAAATAAAATGAAGAAATAAAGTTATTACACAGTATCACTAATCTACACTTGATAATTAATTGCCTTAGAAGTCATTAGTTATTCCTAGTTATTTCTGGTCTTGCTAAAGAAAAATGCTCAGGAAGCATAAATACACAACTTCTAAAGTGAGTATCTTACGGTGTATCTTTGAACAGAGTGATAGACATGGTAAACTTCTGCCAAATGCTGGAAGTGATGAAACTTCTGTAACATGTCAGTCTTCTGTTGTTCATTCTCTGCAGGAGGCAAAGGCGTTACAAGACAGGTCTGTGAGACTCAGCTGGGAGAAAACAGTGTATTACGATTTTAGCTCCAGCACTCCCAGCAGAGGTATGTACGTGTTCAAGGCTGTCCCACCTACCTGTGCAAACCACACATTAACACAGACTTCCATTTTTCTGAGCAAATTTCTGGTTTAAAACAGGCATGGTAAAACACAAAGCAGTTGAGGCAATGGTTTTAACATAACTAGGGTCTTTAGCTTAGTTAAAGATAGAAAACAGTAGGTGTGCATGACTGGAAATCTCATCCATAACTTCAGAGTTTGCCAATAAAATGAGTTTTGAAACATTTGTTTCATACATATTAAAAACATTACTAAGCCAATAGGAAAAGTTTGCATCTCTATAAAATACCTGGAGAGTAACAGATCAGCACTATCATGCATTAGCTGAACAGGAATAAACAACAAAAAAGGCTACTTACAGCACCCGGCACAAGGCAGTAACAGCAATCTTCTGTACTCATTATTACTAAATTACACCTATTAACTACCAGCTCCACCTCTCTCCCAGTGAAATATATTCAGAAGACAAGATGACAGCTAACAAACATCAGCTTTATCTCTGTTGGCAGAAATAATTTGTGAAGTACCTCTCCAACCTATGCTCAAGTACTAGATGTATCTTACACTCCAAAATCATCCTTTATTCACTAGTGCTTTAACCCTCCAATCACTCCTCTAGTTAAAGTGGGAAGGTACATGAGGATACATGGTCCCAGGAGACACGATTTTGATTCTAGTCAGATTTCAAAAGGACGCCTACGCATGCTGATGCTGCTGTGCCGTTTATTTGTTTTAAATAAGCACATGGGAAAACCAGAGGGACTACAAAAATAGCACAAGCCAGAGTTACGTACAGCATCAAAAAAACCCAAACCCAAAGCCACACAGCAGTGAAGTAGCTGCAGCACTGCTATCAATTCAGTCGTTGTTTGTCTACATGCACAAGAAGGTAACAAATACAAACTTCCTTTCAGTTGCTTACCTTGGGCTATATCTAAACACTGCATGGAAAGCATCCAATAATAATAGCCTGCATCGTTAAATCGGCTTTCAACCACAGCATTTTGCGTTAGCTGCTCCAGCAGTCTCATGGCTTCGCTCTGCCTGCCAGCCTTGTGAAATGCTGCAAAGGCGGCCAAAACAAAGAGGATTTTACAGTGCGATTATATCAATTAACGGAAATTAATGTTTTTAAATTAAGAGCAGTCTATTCAGCCAATATCAAATAGTCTATCCAGGGCAGGATAAAAAGGATTATGCACTGGTATTTTTCTCCTTGAAAGCAGCGACACTAATGGAACATGAGAAGCATCTGTAGGCATTTTGTGGCTTTTGCACTATCTCAGCAGCTCTGGAGCTCACTGACTTTGTACAACACTGGTTGCTTTTTTAAAAAAACATAGAGAAGAACAAAAATGCTATGATGATTACATCTCTGTCTAAAGAATGGCAATCTCTAAATACTGCACATCACAACTTCATTCAAAACAACAATAAATTAATGTTTGAAGTTAGTGCCCTGGTTCGTAATGCTGAATATTTTGAGAGAGTGCAGCATCTACTATATCCTTCTATCATTTATTAACAGCGTTTCTTCACGTGATACTTACAAGCCAGTATGAAGTAAGATGCTGAATTCTCACTTGGTAAACACGCCTTTGGCTAACGCAGTCGTCATATAAGGTATAATGGGGTGGAGGGGGAACCAACCCCACAGCACAGTTGCCTCCTGACTTCCAGCTAGCTTAGCTATAACCACATTCTCTGGCAGCTACGCAACGATCGCCCATTCTCGCTCACCCCATCCGGGTGCATTTATATCTGTTGAGCTGCAGCAGCAGAGAGCGTTGTGGACCAAACCGGGAACAACATACCCACGTTCACAGGGTTCTGTGTACAAACTACCGCACTGCCGTAAAACCAGGGGCTCAGAAGTTTGGTGTGGAGACACTCAAACTAGTTTTGTGCGGAGACAGAACACGTCTGGCACGTTCACTGGTTGGCCCTTGTAAGAAAAGGCAGTTATACACAGAGATCCGAGCTGGCTCTGGAAACAGCAGATGCGCCAGTCACATGGAGCGGCACCTGAGAAAAGTGACGGCACTAACAATGTGCTGGCTCCAGACGGAGCTTGCTTCAACATCTCCTTGTCCCTGGAACAGTTTGTGAATTAAATTTTGAAGCCTGTCCACATGATGGAAGGTTGACAGTTCTCTTTAAAGGTAATTTTATAAGCCTAACAAAATACATGAAAATTCTTTAAAGAAAAAAAGGAAAATTATACTTGCTCAATCCCAACATTACCTAAAAAGAAGGAAAAACTATGCTTTCCACTCAAGTTTATAAGGTGGCTGCCATATTTTGAATTCTATTGTGATAAAAATTATTAATAAAGACAGTTCAGATTATATGCCAAATACTGCTGCCACACACCAGATGCAGATATACAATGCGATGGCAAATTTGGACCTGTATTTAGATGCCATCATTTTGCATGGATCCGTCACATTTTCTTATCACATAAGCAGACTTCCAGCTACTTTAAGACCAGTATGAAAACACAACTCCTATTTGGTTTTGGATTCCACTGATAAACTCTCCAGGGCAGAGACTGCATATTCTGCATTGAAACATGGAATAAATTTGGAGCAACCAAATCTGTCTGTGACATTCCTACCTTTCTGGGCTTCTTCAAATCTATCATTCTCTGCTAGCCAATGAGCATAAGGGACATAGACATCATCTTTGAATTCAGGATGCTTTTCACTCAAAGCAAATGCCTGAGGTAAATTTAAAAAATAAATAAATAAATTTTTAGACTATGGCATGGTTTAAACAGTTCAAGGGTTTAGAATATTCCATGGGAATCAATCCTTTAGCTCTAAGTAAATTCATAATAAAAACACATAAAGAGAATAGAAAGTGCAATCCATGTTTTCTCCACTATGAAACTAATGTTTCTTAAAATAAAAATCGATCAACAACAAAAGAAAATAAGCTAAGCATGTTAACAGTCTGGTTATTGAGTCAGGGGAACTTGGAAGTGATTACCTAGGAAATTTAGTAGATTTCCCAGCAAGAAACCAAAAATATTTTTATGTTTACTGATTATCTTCTAAAGAAACTGAAGTAACGCTATAAATGCAGTTCAGAATCGCTTTCTAAACTCGCCAACTAGTCAATAAATGACTGAGTGTACAGTTTTCCAAGGCACCCCATATAACTGGGGGACGGAGTTTGTCAATTCCGGCAGCACTCTGAAAACATTTCCTTAAGAAGCTACACCTATCACAAATGTAATGGGAAGAAACAAGAAAAAATTCGTGGCGACCCCAGCTGTGAAGTGGGTGGTACTGGCAGACCCATAGTTTAATGGCAAAACCCAGCAAAGTCAGAACTTCACCTAATCAAAAGCATAAATCCAGTTATGGAGTGGAGTCCACACTAACACAGCACTCATTCGTCAGGTCTAAATTATGGGTATGGTATTCGCGCCTGGGGGTGACCAAATTAGAAATAATACATTTCAAAACAGAATTTCCCCTAGATATATAATTACTATTTATTCTTTCTCGTGGAACAGAAGCATCCCATGGATTACCATAGGAAGTGGGCAATGATAACTCAACAGGCACAAAAGGTGCTCAGAATTGAGACCAAGAAACATTCAGCCAGAAAACTTAAAAACAAACCCCCAAAAACAACCAAAAAAGCCTCCAACAAAGGAATAGCCCACTGAACATACAGAATGAACTTAAATGCTCTGAATCACATTCTATGGAAGCCTCCTCCCTGCCTCTCCCTTCATACAGGGGTGACTGAGCCAGACATTTGCCTCCCTTCGTGGCAATCAGTAGTGGCTTTAAACACAGAAAGCAAGGGCACACTTACTTCCTCCCAGTGACGCGTCTCCACGTGGAGATGGACCAGCGCTTTCAGGTCACCAACCTTCATGTAGGTTTCTGCTGCGTAGCCAGGGTTATCAAGTTTCTTAAAATAGAAGGCACACTTTGACAGAGGCTCGCGCTCAGCTTTATCCAGTTTTCGAGCAATTTCAATTAACCTAGACCCAGTAAAAAGAAGTCAGATGTTTCAGGTTCTGCCCATTATTTAATTAGTGCAGTAACATCAGTTATTATGTAATAAATATCATAACAGTAGTACCATTCAACACTGCTTAAACAGTTTTCAATAACCATTCCAAATTCTGCTGGTTTTCTTTCACAAACTCAAAACCTGTTCCTCCAATCTTTACTCCTATGTGCAGTTCCGTATCTCAGACTCTTTGCAGAGTCACGAAGATGGAGGCAGAGAGTAGGTCCTACATGACTAAGTGACATGGGACACACTTCCTCAGCCCTGACCTAAAACAAAACACTCAAGAACATTGCCCCATTGCTACACAGCAAAGTTGAGGGAAGGGAAGGCTGAGTGACCTTTCCAAGATCTTATGGCAACTCAGAAAATGACCCATAGGTTCACCTATTCCAAATCGAGGAGAATTTGATGCATGACAGGAGCAGCCCCTGAATTTCTAGTGCTCGAGTTGTCTTCCGTACCCACTAGATGATTGTCTTAGTTTAAAAGAACAGGAACAGGCTATCACAGGCAAGCACTGCTGGGATGATTACTCTGAAAAGCTTAAGGCATGCATATTTTAGAAGACAGTCTCATACTGCAGATGAACCCATTCGTACCCTTTACTGTCACCGTGCATTTGTTTTCGTAACATATTTATGCCCCTACCCTCTAAACACGTGTAACTTCTAAAACACCGTTAACTGAGGATGTGCTTCAGATGCACAAACTGATACAAACCACATACCAAGCAAGTGTTGTCTTATTTTAAAAGTACGTGGAACTCATGACAACTCATTTACATTCGTATTGCATACATTCTCTCAGAGATGGAACCAAAACCTACATATCAACCCAGCCGTGGTCCCCGCTGATTTCTATGGCCTTCATGTGCTCGCCTGCAGACAGGTACATCTCCACCGCTGCTTTTGGTTCCCTGATATTCTCGGCCCAATCTGCTTGTTTTTTTATGAGCATCTTTGTGCCTTTGGGGTCTCCAGATCCCAGAAAATCCTGAAATAGTGCAATACAAAAGTTTGCATTACTTTCTGGTTACAAGTCGTGTTACAGTCCAAATTCTAAAATACATGAAGCCTTTTAAAGTGAGTATGGTTATGCCTCCTAAGAAACACAGCACACAGGGTAACCTGAACTGATCCAGCCTTCCGCAACTAATCATCAAGGCCCAGTGTTTAGTAAGAAACAACAGCAAGTCTTCCACTTAGTTTTCAATTAAAAGCAAAAAAAAAAAAAGAGAAGTAGTAGGAGATTCTGGGAGGGCGAGGAAAAGGATGACACAGATGCCTCAGAGGTAGTAAGTATGTCCCCACTAGATTCCCCCACTAGAAAGCTCGCTCTCTCTTGACCCTGGTTAAGTGGATACAAATTATGATTTCCGCATGCTTTTCAGGAACATGCCTTTCCAAAACAAAATAGTACTGATCTCAAAAACTGTAACAGACTAATTCCAAGCTTCGGATTTCCTTTTGCAAGCCACGAAGGTACAGCTTCATTCTCAAAGATGACCCAGCCTCACCACATGCTTAGCTAACGACAGTATACCTGCTTAATCATATGTTAGCATCAGGATGCCCAGCCACCAATCCAAGGCTGAGGTTTCATTTTCTGCAAAGACACTTGACAACTGTATTACAACACATCAAAGAAGTTCTTTTATAAGGACAGAACGACAGCTGCTCAAAAGCAAGAGTAACTCTCAACTACTGGTTGGACTTCTGCAACAAATGCCAACACCAAGCGTGGATGCTGTGAGGATGACGACCATTTTGGAAATATTTCTAATAGTTCGTTCAGCTTCTTCTGCCAACACCAAAGCCCTGGCACCATATGGTTCACATCTGTTGATATCATGTGCCAGGGAGAAAAAACCAAGAGGTACTTCAACACCAGAAGATGGATTAAGGGCAATTTTGTCTGTTAACAGAACAGGCTACTGTCCACTGAAACAGCTTCCACCAAATGCAAAATTAGACCAGAGGAGAAATGGGAAGGTGAGAAAAGTGGAAAATTATCTTATTCTCTGTTTTAAAAAAAAGGTTAAAAAAAAAATCACAACAACCAAACAACAAAAACCCAACAAACAAGCAGAAAAAAGCACCCACACAACAGATCTGTTCCACTACCACAATTCAGCAGTTTCCCTGATGCAGGCAGTCGACAGGTACAGAACTACACCCCCTCTCTACAACAGCTCTTAAGTGAGCTCCCTGTTGGATTTTGCTCTTGCCTTATCTACTGCACCTCAGCCCTGATTCAAGCAAATAACTACAAAGATGTCACGATAATCTTTGAATATGAAAACCTGAAGCAAAAGAATCAAGTTGGTTAAACAACACATTTGCCCTAACTTGCTTCCCAGCTTAGGTCACCAAAATCCATCCAAAATCAAAAGCTCAGCTTCTTACAGTATAGTTTTCTGTGAGTTTTTGTGAGTCTCAGTAATTTGTGATCTGCTGCTGCGATAACAAGCCTATGACCACATATCAAAGGACTTCCTGACCTCTGCCTCCGGTCTGGAGACTCTAGCCAGAGCTAATCAAAGTCAAGCACAAGCAATCAGATTCTGTAAGGGTCCCTTTGCACAATTTCTGGCAGCATTCAAAAACCAACACGAAAACACCCCAACACCCACTCACCCCCCTCAGTATCTTTCCTTGGAAAAATAACTGGCAAACGTGTTGTGCCAAGAAGTACCTTGGATTTCCTCTGCACGGAGTTACTCTCAAGGATAGGAGACACAAGACCTTTTGCTCTCTGCTAGTTAAATATAGACATGACTATGGCAAAGAATTGAAAGATTCTTATGAAGACTGCTGGGAAAATTTTCATCTATGAATTACATTTATGTTCAAGAGGAGCCAAAACTCTGAAGCTAACAAAGACTCATCAGCCAAAAATAGTGGAATTCAGACTTACATCAGCAAAGCCCCAAAGTATTTATATCAAGCTCTTGGAAGAAAAAGATCTCTCTATGCTAAAACAGTTTATACGCATGTCATGGCAAAGTCTTTGTCCTGTATTGGGCAGAGTAAGGCTCTGGTGAGTGATGAATGAGACTAAGCAGTGCATGCATTCTCAGGGATTTTGATAAGAAAACACCCTAGAAGACTTAAAAGCCAAGTGATGTTTTCTTATCACCATAAAAAAACATCACTTTTTAAAACCATGTTCAGTTTATTTCTACATGGAAACAGTTTAAAAAAAAAAAAAGACAAGACACTGAATCTTTGGAAGAAAATTCTGTAGTAAACAAAAATATAGCAGGTTAGTATATTATACACTTCATAAAATACATTCATGTAGAACTAACATACCTATCTAAGTTCAAACTCTGAAAGAAAAACATTTTTATTATAACGTGGAAGTGAATTAAATGCATGGTGCACTCACCTCCACTTTGCAGGTGCACTACCTTATTATCTTTGGAAGACAAAAAAAAAAAATGGACTCTTGAGCAAGACAACGGGGAAGAAACAGCCATAAAAATGCTACTTCTAGGTTTTAGGGAAAATTACTATGGATAATACTATATGACCACAATGAAAGAGTCATCTTTGGTGGTGTCCAACAAAAAAATCCACTGAAAAGCCATGAATTACATGGACACATCTGATACTAAAAAACACAATCTGCTACCTCAGCAGCAGAAACAGTCTGCCGTTACACCCAGACGCACAAGATAGCCACTTTGCCCCTCGTAAGCCAAACGAACTGCAACCAACGACCTGAGAATATAAAGTTGGAACCCAAAGCCTGCTTTTCATCCAATCCTGCTGTAGGATCACACTTGGAAAACAGTTACAGGTACGTTAATATATCTGCATTTCAATATCCAGTGGCAGACCATTACCTTTGCATAGTCAAACATGCGTAAGTCAGAGTACATATCAAGCGCTACGTTGTCATGTCCACTCTTTTTGTACAACTTCGCTGCCTCATGGAACTTTCCCTGGTAGGCATAAATATCTGCTAGGAACAGTTCGTTGTTGTTCTCTCCGTGCTTCTTCCGCTCCTGGAAGAAAAACCCCAAAGAGATACGTAGGAAATATTGTAGATGATCAGGACCTCTGTGAGAAATAGCCATTGAAGAATTACAGTTTTCAGGCTTAGATTTTAACTGTTAATGAAAACCTGTAACAGGATACGATAATTATGCCTCTCCTGCATTTCTGGTGAATTTATCATTAAAGGATTAAATCCCTTCTTAATTAAAATTAGGAAGAGCAAAATTAAATGTCACTATACAAACCAAAGTGATGAAAAATCACTTCTCTTGATTTCACACAGGAAAATGAACACACGCTGTCATTATGCTATGCTGCTTTAAAAAAAGGCATCTGAAGGGTTCCTTATTTTCTCCTGTAGAAACTCACTAGCGTATAATTTAGCTAAATTAACAATATGTGCGAGTGGGATGACAAACAGCACAATAATTGCTCGCAGCAAGCAGATTCACAAAGCACATCAACCTGCTTCAGTACACAACAGCATCACCACCACCACTCTCCCCACACGCAAGAGCTCGTGATGTCAGGCAGGCAGATATCGCTTCCGGCGCACCCGCACATCCTCTCCCGCTACCTGGAACTGCTCACTCGGGTTGAGTGGGAAGGGCCCACAGGGGCAAGCGTGCAGCGCACGGAGAAACCCGTTCCGTGAACTGCACCCACAGGGGTACGCTGGCTCCAAGGGACCAGTGCCATACACGTGTATGTTTATCCTGTATCTTGGGAACTCATTACTACCCTGGTTTGGATAAAATTGTTACTACTATTAGACCACGTCATACACAAATACACAGATGCGAACTGAATTTAAAGAAAACTGCACTAACAGGGGAAAAGCATTCCATGAGCATACAAAGCCAATGCTCTGCTGCCAAGGAGACTCAGCCGTCACTCCTGGTCACACCTACTGACCAGGCTGATACTGGACTGGTGTTGAAATTCCCTTTTACAAACTTGGTTAGAAGAATAATCAGAGGAGTTGTTACACCATTTTTTAAAGACCTCCCAGAATCTTGATGGATAGAGAGATCTGGCAGTTATGTTTCCTGCTGTCATCAATTAGGAAAAAACCGCATCATTACGGAGAGAAAACCATCCCATTAATGGCACGTGTGTGCTCAGTTACACCCTTACAAGCCTTAAAAGGAACCCGATACACCACTAGCAAGAGTAAGCAGTGATGTAGAACTCTCTCTTCAGAAGAAGCGTTTTCAGGAAGTCTGAAAGTAAGTTTATGCCTATTGACAAAGGAAATCTGCCTCATTAAATAGAATATAACATGACAATTCCAGAATATCCCCGTAGACACAGATCTGGAGAAGCATGTGTGGAAAAGAAAGGTTAGTAGTGGTGAGAGAATGACCTCATCTACCTATCCACCCTTTAAAGGCAAAAAATTTTTTAAAAAAGGGGGCGTGTGTCCTAATGCAGAACTTTGTCCCATGTTAGACACCAAGAAAAGTTAACTGCAGCCAACTGGCGCTCGGACAGAACCAGGACAGCTCTGCCGAAATGGAAGACAAGGAATATATTCTTTCAGAGGTGTAAATCTAATTAGCGTGAGAAAGAGGAATTCCCTTTATGCCATCTCAACACAGATCTCTATACTAAGTGTTATCGTGCAGTCTTTTGTGGAAGGAAGGGTGATAGCATGTCTTTTAATGTCCTCATGACAGACAGTTATTGTCTAGTGAAATTCTATCAAGAAGTGTGGAAAAAAAACCCCAAACTAGTGATTAGAGCACAGTATGGAAGCAAGGAATCCCAAATTCTATTTCCAGTTGCCACAGACTTGTCACGAGACCTTGAGTTTGTCATCTTATTTCTCTGGGCCTGTTTCTGGCTCTGCAAAGAAGAGATAATAATAATTACCCACCTCCAGGGGGTAAGGAAAGGCTTAATTAACTCATGTTTATGAAGTATTCTGCACTCAGGTCTGTTAGCACAGTAGTTTCTACCAATTATTAATTGAATATTGAACGTTTTTCCAGTTTTTCTGAAGACAGTTTAAGTTCTCGTTGTCTCACATACTCATTTTTTTTCCCCTGTGAAGTTTCAGTCATATGACTGGAATTCAAGTCATCTCTGCTAATCAGGAGATTTTTCACTCTAACACATCTCCAACAGTCCGAAGCACTATCCAAACAAAAGTCCCTCCTAAACAGAAAGTACTGATTGTGGGACAGTACTAAGCGTAAGGAAATACACTGTCTTTAACATTCTCTTACCTCTATGTTGCTGATCAACTCTAGATATCTAAGGTCTTGTACCCTGGTAAATGCCTATTGAAAAAAGAATAAAAAGGATTAACTTGAAAAGCCAGAAAAATCAAGGTAGTATTGTTACACATAAACCAAGCTGTCTTCATGCAAACAGGGTGGACAGAAATACCCTGAGGTTTGTGTAGTCCGTAACCCGATGGGCTCTGACTGCAACTGGGGCCCCTGAGGCTTTACAGTAAGACACGGGTACAATCCAAAGAGCTTATCACTGAAAATAAACAGCAAGGGCAGGGACTAATAGGTGTGCATACATCAGGCCCCCAAGAAACTGACATTTTAAATATTACATACTTTTATTCTGGATATTTTATAGCTTCTCCATTTAGACGTGAAGCATGATACAGACAGGGAAATTTAAGGAAACTATTACCAGGTAGACCATATAATTGATCTTCTTGCCAAAGCATATGCTTATAGTTTTTATACCATTCTGAAAATTCAGAGTGCAAGCTGCTCCGGGAGAGGAAAGGAAGTAAGAAGACTGCGAGATAAAAGTACTGCAAGACAGCGTAATATCTTTTGCAAATGGAGATAAATGTGCAACCCAAAGTCTCAAGTGGCAGTCACGTGCGAGTTACAGCAGCTTAGCGCTTATATTCTTGACATGCATCAAAAAATAGAAATTAACTCTTTAGACCGCACGTTCAAGACTTCTAACCAAATGAATGCTTAAGAGGGCATAGAATATTCTGCTTACACCAGATCGGACTAGGAACTGAGAGCCTTTAATGTCAAGAAGCTGCTTTTGTTCAAATTAATCCGCTCTAATTCTAAGAGGGCAACTACTTTAAAATTCCAAGGAGGCACTGAAAACTTCTTTTTAAGAATATCTATTTGCATAAAGCTGCCTATGAAACTGGAATTATTCTGATGCCTCCACTTAAGAAAAAAGAAAAATAAAGCATTTCATTTCCTTTAAAAAAACCCCAAAAATCTGTTATTAAAAGATGCCTATCATTACAGGCCATTGCCTGCGTATTTTTAGACTGTTTTGTCTTTCATACAATATTCATGATACTGAACTCAGTTCGCCCTCTCGTATTTGAGAAAAGGTAGTGAAAGAAAATAGACAAGTCTTTTATGCCGGAGAAAACTCTGTTCTTCAGTGTATGCTATTCCCAAAACCAAGGCATTGCAGACAGAAAAACGACCAGAATGATGTCATCTCATCCCCACTGCCTTCAAAGAACATTAGTCCGTAAATAACAAAGAATAGGAAACCTCCACATTTGAACTGACGTTCTATTAAATACTTAGGGGGAAAAAAGAGTAAGTTCCAGCGCTGGGGAAGGGCGGGAGACAGCCAAGGCATTCGTTCTTTGCTGCCACCCGGTGGTCAGCAGCACCACTGAGCGACTTCCCTCTTCCATTTCCCTCACATTCATTAACGCATTTTCCAGCGGATGAAAGAATCCATTTTCTTGCATTTAACACTTTGATTTAGAACATGGCATTTATCTAGAGTAATAAATTCCATTTCAGTTCAAAACGTCCTCTCAAGATCTTGAGGATATAACAAAGCAATGTTTTCTCTGGTACGCGGAATAACACATACACGCTAAAGAAAAGGAAGATTCTAGCCCAGGAACACCACTTTGTATTCCAACCATGAAACAGGCATTATACACACACACTATATATAAAATATAAAACAAGTTTTCTGCTAAGCAAGTATCTGCTTTACCTTTTTAGCAGTTTCAATCTCCAGCCCTTCTAAAGCTTCCATGGCCAGTTCTTTCCAGTCAGTATCAGTTACCCCTAAACACGCGATTTGATAGGCTTCTTTAAACATTTTTCGTTCCAGATATTGATACATGGGTGCAGACTGAGGATTTCCATTGAAAAACATGTATTAGAGAGCATAATACTGAGAGATATTAGTGAAATTATCTACATATGTTGGGGCAAAAAGGAAATTCCCATCACAAATGTTACAAGCTCCACACAGAATAAACATACAGTTTTTGTAGGACAGAACATTCTGGGGTGATTATTATCGTATCTTCAGACAGCCTGGGTTAATTCTATTCCAAACTCATCCATCTTGAAATCTTTAGCTCCTTGCTAATACTATGGAAGCAGAGCAAAGGGAGTGGTTTGTTCTCAAAGGCTAGAAGCATAAAAAGCGGCCTGACAGCCCGGTGTGAAGCATCCCTGGAAATACTGGGACACAACAGGAAGAGGTATCATGAGGAAGTAACCCTTCTGCGCCAACCCTGAGAACAAAGCTTTTTACCGAGACTGCAACGATTAAGCCCAAAAGCCACTGACCTCAAGGACCTGGCCTAAAAGGGAATTAAAGCTGTCAACCGCAGCCTGACACAGGCCGACTAAGGCTCAGGATCTGCAGCTACAGCACGAACCCTTTGAGCGAGCAGGAGGCACTGCAGCTACATTACCTTTAACTCAGGGGTTGTAAACCAGACTGATTTCAGTCTGATAACTACACTTTTCGGTACTCCCTCCCTCCAAAAGCGTAGCTTTGGCAAAGCCCCTGCGACACCTCACAACAATTCCATGGCATACTGGTGCCTACAGCAGGCCAAAGCCAGGCTGAGTGTACCCAGCCTGCTCAGTCTCATGGCTGTCAACCACACTGCATGACCCAGAGCCTAATTAAGGATCTGCATAATGACCCAGAGGACCAGGCAGGGGTCTGTGACACAGGTATACACTGGTTAGTAACAGCACATGGCACTTTTGCTTTCTTTGCTGACTCAGTTTCAAATCCTGGCCACACTTGGGTGCAGGTCACTTTTTTTTTCCCTCTCCTTTCCTTTTTTCATTTTGTTTCTTGGACTGTTTCAGACCCTTCCACTGCTTCCCATAATGCAGAAAACAGCACTTGGTGGAAAGCACCTCTACATTTAGAATATAAAGACTACACACGTACTATACATTCAGACTAAAATACTCAGCTTAATATTGCCTAAGAAGTATGTAGATGAAACAACAATAAGCCAGTATTTGATGTGCTCATAGGAAAAATAAAATTACAACTTGAGGAAAGCTACCATGGACTACAGTACAAATACAGGAAGAGGTAACACCGGCACCGTAACTTCATCTTTGCTTTTAGATTATGGGTACTTGGAAGTGGAAAGGGATAATTAGAAATCACAATCAACAACAGCAAAAAGGAAGTTAGGTTAATTAATGCCAAATAAACAAAAATAAAATAGATGATGCAACGTAACTTAAATAACAATGAAGAAAGTGCAAACTGCAATAATTTTGGTAATGGAATTCGAGTAAATCTCAGAAAAGCTTCTTCACTTCTTAAACATTGATGTTTATGAAATGTAAGGCAACACTTAATGAGATTAAAGGATTACCTGCGGAACTTCAACAGCTGACATGGAAAAACCATGAAGACAGAAGATCTTGGAGCCGCTGTAACCCACAACAAAGCCTTGAAGTTTTTGCTGATGGACAGGGAAGTTACTAGCTTTGATATTGAGATAACCCCCTCCAGAAAAGCAAAGCATATCCTCACACTGTGTATTCCAAGCCACACTATTAGCATTGGGTTCCTAACGAGGAAAATAACGATGATTACAACAGATGCAATCACATCTTCTTTCTTATACAATATGCATCCTTCAGCTAACATGTCTGACCTATTACAGCCCAAGTGTGTATGTACCCACACTTATTATCTACATTAGGAATACAATAGGCTTTACAAAACAGATTTACAGGGACATATTTTACATTTTAATAAACAGCTGTAATTGGTTTGTATTTACTAATGGTCTACACTGTCAAAAATGTAGAACATAATATAAAATTCCACAGTAATACACTGTTAGTTGCTAGCACATTTAATTGATCATTTTTCTCCTGTTACAAAAAGAAAGTTACAGCCCCTATTTTTGCAGCACCTCATACTTTCTATCCAGTGTTCTCTGAAAACGTTTCATCAACATTAATGAGCGAACCCTTAGAGTGACTGCTAAACTGCCACTGAAGAGAGAATTAACATTACTCATTTTATAGTCTGGGAATACACGATGAACAAAGAAGTTTAGGCTTTAATTCTGTTCATACTAATGATAAAGCCAAAATGCTCGTAAATGTAATGCTTCAAAGGGAAGCAGGACAGAGCTCTAAATTAAACTGAAAAGGTCACATGTTTAAGTGCTCTTTATTCGGCTCTTGCTCACATATTTCTCCTGTCTTCTAATTCCTTGTCCACCATCTCTAAAAGGGTAGTTTCGATACAGAAACAGATCACAGTTAAACCCCACAAAATGCGGTTAATGGCTTAAATGACAGTTACATGAATTTCTGCACAGCATCACTTTTGGTATGTCCTGTGCTCCAAATCACTCCCTGCACCTTCCCCTTTTAAAAATAACAATTAGAAACCCCCAACTTTGAACTGTACCTGAAACAACAACTCTTTGGTACGAATATCATACACGAGGCAGGTATCATTTTCATCAACCACGGCCAGCTTGTTCCGGGATGCGCTCATATCCAGGCAGCGCACAGCTGTGGAATGCTTCAACAGGACGATTGCAAAGACGTTATCGACAAATATCTTCAGTATCTAGACATATTTGAAACCATAGTCAGTCCACCCATTTTTGTTCCTAAAACTAGAAATAGCATCGCAGGTACAAACTTTAATGCTGTTTAAAGCATGCAGCTGCAATCTCTTTTTCCAGAGATAAACTGCATTAAAATTAAGGAAATACTTTCGGTTTGAGGTAACTGAAAAAGACTTGTTTCCACAGCGCAGCCCAGGTTCCAAGCCTGTACAAATGAAACACACACTATACAGCCTGGATTTTTAATCCTCCACTAGTTAAACAACTACATTAATATAACTCCCCAAGAACACACAGCATAGGTACAGAAGACAAAGTATCTCAACTTCCTCTCCCTACCAATACCTCTGGGCTCCAGTTTGAAATTTTCAGCTGCTGAGTGGCTTGTGAAACAGACAGCAACTTCACCTCTAGAGCATCCACACCTTCACAAGTGGTTATCAGGAGAAGTGTACGTGCCCACACCAACCCCCACTAATGACAAACCCTCTCTCAGTTCATCAAAAACTCCATTTTCATCAGCTGTTCCTAACAACTTACGGGCTTTAGACATGTTTGTATGAGTTATACAGTCAAAAAAATGTGAAAGATTAAAGCAATTAGTTTTTAATCATGAGATGAGACTGTCAAATAAAATTCTAGGTTGTAAAAGAGCATGATGCCCCTAAGGGCTCCCCCTAAGAGCACAGAACCAATTCCAGTTGCAGTGAGAAGGCACATACCAGACATTATGTGTTACCTGACCATTCTTTAGACCAACTAAGAGGCCTTCTCTTCCTGGAGGTCCTCCAATTACTTTAATATACCGAATAAGAGATTCCATCAGCCATTCTCGTTCTTTAATGCCACTAAATGAAAGGCACTGTAACCTCTTCTCCTAAAGACACAATAACATACAGTACAATTATACAGTACAATCCTTTCCCACCAGCTCTTTGGACAGCTATCTTAAAGTACAAATGTACCCCAAAACTAGTCTGGATTTTAAGGCACATACCTGGCATAAAATAATGTGATTTGAACATACAACCAGCAAGTTGCATTCAAATTTTTTTACTATCTTTTCCTTCACGCGATAATACATATCTGAAGAATCATCCGAGTATAACTCGTAAATCAAGATTTTCTCTGGCATCTGGATTGCTAATCTGTTTTTGTAGATTGCAATTTTCTTTACAAGCTCTCTGCCTTTTATTCTAACTAGGAGAGAAAAAACACAAAACCACTATAGTATAGGCCGACACGAAAATAACGGGTACAGAAAATCAGAAAACTTACCAATACATTAAAATTGAGTATTTCTACAGCACCTCTAAAATTAAAAGCAGGTTCCTGCTCAGATATGTTTTTTGTTCTGAATTTACTATCCCTGTCACAATTTGTTACCCCCTATTATTTGTCAACAGTACATTCTGGAGCAAAACTTTGATTCTTTGCCATAAAAAGCTGGTGGATACCAAAAACCAAAATGAGCACAAACCCTTGAGGCTGCAAGTAAGAAAAAAGAAAAAGCTATATATGATGTACAGTATTTTTATCTCACTGGCAGAGATTAAAACCTTATCTTAAAAGCCTCTGCCCCTCCCAATGTCCTTTCAAATCCCCACATCTTTTATTAAGCTTGTCAGCGCTGATCCTCCAGAATCCAAGTTTGCACTCTCATCCTGCAAACAGTATTCCTCAGTTTTACTGTCAAAGTGACAACAATCTGTCTGGTACGTGCAGCACGCATTCCAAGTGTTCGGATGGCTATTAATTAAAACAAAACAGAATGAGAGCGAAGCTTTGGCCTGACTGCAAGCGTAAGATTACCTTTCTGTTCAGTGATGAGGTGTTGGACAATAACGTCAGTCATGCTGTCTCTGTACGCATAGCGATCTTTATAGAGGCCATGAACAGTGCTGAAAATCAACTGATAGAAGGATATTGTTCCATCTTGACATCCTACTGCCTGAACACACGAAGAAGAGAATTGTAGGTAACTGCCACATGTAGGTGAGAATTGGCAAAACAAGCAGTATTTACACGAACATTACATTCCTCCTCCTGCATAACGTACAGATTGATACCAACTGCAGCCTACTTTACTGAAACAGTGGTAAAAGCACAGTGCAAAATGAGGACTCAAATCACCCTCATGTTGGGGGTTTGGTTTCTGGTTTAGGAGGAGGGTAGTGGTGTGTGTTTTTAAATTCCTCCTTCACATCTGCACAATGACAGAGAGTGCAGCATTTACGGCTAACAGTTGCCTTGTAGGCATTTTCCACAAACCATAATGCTAGGAACTCAAACAGATCTGAACGTTTTCATCCCATCACAGAATTACATTTGGCCAACCTACAAGTTATTAGCTACCTTTTTTCTTCTTTTCTCGCCTCTTTTTTAATGAAAATGCAGCAAACACTATCTGAAAACGGGCGTTACCCTCATCCACACCCTTCTTACAGCCCAAGTTTTACTTCTGCAGGATGTTTTTAATTTTGGTCATAGTTCTAGGACCTCACTAGACACTGCTTAGGTTCTGCTGCCTCAGCAAGAATGTCTAGACTAAGCAACTGAGTTTGGAAAGTATGGTCTGCGCTGTTTCTGGCTGGGATAGGCTTAAATGTCTTCACAGCAGCTAGTCTGGGGCTGTGTTTTGGATTGGTGCAGAGAACAGTGTTGATAACACAGGGATGTTTTAGTCACTGCTGAGCAGGTCTGACAGACAGTGAAGGCCTTTGCGGCTGCTCGCCCTACCTCGCCAGCGAGTGGGCTGGGGGTGCACAAGAAGCTGGGAGGGGACACAGCCAGGACAGCTGACCCCAACTGACCAAAGGGATTTCCCACACACATGGCATCAGGGGAAGAAAGAGGAATATGGGTACGTTCAGAGTTATGGCATTTGTCTTCCCAAGTAACTGCTAGATGTGAGGGAGCCCTGCTTTACCTATTAAACTGCCTTTATCTCAAACCACGAGTTTTCTCACTTTTCCTCTTCTAATGGTGTCCCCCCATCCCACTACGGGGGGAGTGAGCCAGCGGCTGTGTGGTGCTCAGATGCCAGCTGGGGTTAAACCACATGGTCTTCCCTTACATGACAAACTGCCTGTGAAAACGTCAGAGAAATGTTCCTACTCACCACATAGTTGGAGTCTGGTTTAACCTTGCACGTCCACACCCAACTGCTTTGCTCTCCTATGGTACCGAGACGCACGCCATCCTTCGTGAAGAGGGAAACTTGTTTATCTGAACCTCCCAGTAAAATATACTCTCCTTTACTAAAATAGCTAACACAGCAAGGATCAAAATTGAGCATTCTGTCCTTTCCAATCTACAAAGGAAATTCAAAAAAAAAGTCAAAAACATTAACAAAAGGATCTTTTCATACTTGCCCAAGGCAACGAGTGCTGTCACCGATACCATTCTTCTCATTTCTCCAGCCCTGCACAACTTTCCTATACCCCAGAACCACTGGCGATATTAAGATACCCAAAGACAGCTCCAAAATACACTCAAGAACCCCTCCAGTCCCAAACCAGTCTACTTAGAATGCAAGCAACTCACAGACTCCCCTTTAACCAGCTGAAAAAAATACAAAGATCTCCTCTACAGACCAGTAAACCGTACCACTAAAATCAGCAAAGTTGTAAAAGCTTTAGTACAAGAACTTTACGACAGTGGCTGAGTTGCCGTAGGAGAAACAAGAGCTGAAGGAAAAGATGGTTGAAAAAAAGCAGACTCAAAAGATTGGGAAAACAGAAAACATTTAAAGTAGCTAATAAAGCCCTAGTATAGAAACACTTTGAATACAGGACAGGAAACGGGATCAGAAATACGCTGCCACTCTAGAACGCACTTTCTAACACATACCTGTTTGCCACTAAGCTGGTAAAAGGAAAGTTTCTGACCCCAGTCTGCCACAGCTAAAATGTCATTGCGTTCCTCTCTAACAAAAATAAGAAAAAGAAGAAATAATTATCTAGTAAATCTACAGCGATTTATTAATATGTTTCTTAGAGCAACACAACCACAGAACAGGACAGCAGCTCGAAGTTCACATTGCTCTCTGAACAAACCACACACTGAGAGGACAGCAGATACACCTTGCCATCTAAAGCGGAGGAAGACGGCTACGCCAGCAGCGCACACGACGACGCCAACGGTCCCTTAAACAGATGAAGCACCTGGGGCTGGATTCTGCCCTTGGCTACAGTAGTACGGAGCCACCATAACATCAGCCGAGCAAGAGTGAACTACAGGGTGAGAGGCAGGGGGGAGAAGTTGTTCCTGCGAGACCAGCAGAAGCAACGCTTCAGGTCTCAAATTCGTTAGCTTTGGTACTCTGACATGAGCCGTTCAGCTTGGAGCAAAACATGAGAGTCACCTCCTCCACAGGTTCTCGCTTGGGAAGAAGGGAGGCTGTAACCCGAACATTCTGCTGCAAAGAACGCCTCTGGCCAGACACTGAACAAAACACAGGCTGAAGAGCTGTTCAGTGAGCACCGTCCCTTTGCTCAGTGCATGATGCATGCACCCGCGGGGAAAAGCAACACACTATCACATACTCCAGAGCTACCTCACACTGAACACATACTAGCAGAATAAATTAGCACCGTACAGGCAACTATTCATCTAGAACTTCCTAACTTTTGAGTATCTGATTTAATGCCCTGAATAATACTCTCTGCCCTCAGTCCTTTTTGTAAATCTCTGTTATAGGTAATATAGAGAGAGATGCTTCTTTGAAGTTTCACTCGCAAGTTGAAATCCAGAGGTCTCTTCTTCCTCATGGTCTTCTCGCTCTGACCGACTATACTGCCTATTGCAGGGCCTGGCAGTCAGTACTGAAACCTCCTCTAGACAGCTGTGAACTGACTCCTCTTGTTCATCTGCTCTACTCCAAAAATTCTCCCACCTACTACAGTAGCAATTATTTATTCACAGATTTGGAACAATATTCCCTCTGAACTGAAGTGAAAAAACTCTCTCCCTGTGTATCCAAACAGAACCTGCCCCCCCAGCCAAAAAAACACCCAAACAACGACCAAACCACAAAACCAATACAAAAGAAAACAGAAATGTTTTTTGAGATATGGTGAGGCCGCACCTCAAATCCTGGGTTCAGTTTTGGGCCCCTCACTTTGAGACAGACACTGAGGGGCTGGAGCGTGTCCAGAGAAGGGAACGGAGCTGGGGAAGGGTCTGGAGCACAAGTCCTGTGAGGAGCGGCTGAGGGAGCTGGGGGTGCTCAGCCTGGGGGAGAGGAGGCTCAGGGGAGACCTGATCGCTCCCTGAAAGGGGGATACAGAGAGGTGGGAGTTGGTCTTTTCTCCCAAGTGACAAGCGATGGGTAAGAGGAAACAGCCTCAAGTTGTGCCAGGGGAGGTTTACATTGGATATTAGGAAAAATTCCTTCCCGGAAAGCGCTGTCAGGCATTGGAACGGGCTGCCCAGGGAGGTGGTGGAGTCACCATCCCCGGAGGGATGTAGGAGACATGTGGACGAGGTGCTCAGGGACATGGCTTAGTGGTGGACTTGGCAATGCTGGGTTAACAGTTGGACTTGATGATCTTAAAGGTCTTTTCCTGCCTAAATTTTCTATGATCCAAGTGGAATTTTTCCCAGTTTCTCCATTCAATTAAAGACTGGCAGCAAAGCCAAAACCCCAGTATATTATCACTTAAAAAAGGTAACTGTACTTGGCATTAATCTGTTTCAGCAGGGATAAAAGTCAAGTTTCTGCAACCAATAAACCCAAGATTACCTATTCAGCACAAAAAAAAGGAAGGATGAAATTATTTACCTGGACGGATTCCAACAAATTGACCATATTGGAGATGAAGCACCCCCTGTACGCTCAATTTTAACTTTCTCCTCTCCATTTTTATTCCTTATGCTGACAATGCCGTTGAACATCCCCAAAGCAAGGTACTGGCCATCATTTGTCCAGCTGATAAAACACACACATACTGAAGAGCAAACTACTAAAAACAAGCAGCAGGAAGGTAGGATGGTACAGCATACTCAAATAAGGATGATAAATAGAAATATACTTCTAAGAGGGAGTTCTGGGAGATAGCCAGTAATCCTACAGTTTGTTTATGCATCTAAATCCACATTTATGGCAACAGCATGCACTACAGCAAGAACATTTTATTATACACACAGAAATAAAAAAATATGTAGAAATAAAAAAAAAAGCTATCATCTGCTTGCTATAGTTCTAACATGTGCGAAGTAACATACATTTTGGGGGATGACAGTGCTGGCAGCAGACCAGACTGCTTTAAAAGCCACATTTAGAACCGTGATCAGATAAAACCGGATGGTGCTGGGGCAGAGAAGGCCTGGTTTCTATTCTTGTCTCTACTGCAGCGAGATGGATGACTTTACACAAATTAAATGTACCCTTGCTTCAGGTCCCCCATAACAAGAATATGTTCTTCTACTGGAAATACCAACAACACAGAAGATGAACAGCTCTATAAACAAAAAATGTCATTATTTTTCCTCATTTCACTGTTACTGCTCAAGATGGCTAAACGGAGAGAGAAGTTAGGGCACTTGCTCAACACCAGAACACCTCTGACACTTTCAGAATTCAGCTATTAACGTTACCAAACAAAAAACAAACCCCTTTGCTATTAAAAAAAAAGGGAAGGAAAAAGAAAAAAGCTCTCTCTGAGAAGACTACACAAGAAAGAACAAATCACCTCTGATAAATATTAGTCATATTCCTACTGGAGCATTATAAATGCCACACGGGTATTTTAATGACGCGACG